CCATTGCTCCAGGGGTTGTTTTGCTGGGCAATGTGGATTTGGAGGATGATGCAGAGTGCAGGTGGCCTTAGAGGGGCACCTCAAAGCTCAGCAGGTCAGATCCTGCTGTACATCATGACCGAGGAAGTGTTTTCTATCTGTGTGTCACACTGAGCCCTGCCCTCATGCTGCCATCTTCCCTATGCTTCCCTTCCCCAGTACCCACACTTTCTCAAGAGAGATGGCAACAAACTGCAGATCATGCTGCAGCGGAGGAAGAGATACAAGAACCGCACAATCCTGGGCTACAAGACCCTTGCAGTGGGCATCATTAACATGGCTGAGGTACAGGGTGCTGGGAACAGAGGGGAGCTTCGCATGGCCTCGCTGTGCTGGCTCTGGGAGGGGAGCTGGGCTGGCTGACAGATGCTCAGTGCTGTGAGTGCTCTGGCTTGTTGGCTAGCTGTAAGACATAGGGGGTGGGCTGCCAGCTGCCATTGTGTCACCCTGGCAGAGGACTTGTCTGTCTGCCTAGGTGATGCAGCACCCGACGGACGGTGGGCAGCTTCTGGGCCTCCACAGCAACATGAAGGACGTGAACATCCGAGTGGCTGAAATCAGCATCTACTCTTTGTCCAGCCAGCCCATTGACCATGAGGACGGGAACGTCCCCTCAGGTCCTAAAATCAAAGCTTCAGGTGTGTTAGTGCTCATCATAGACCTGAAGGCAAGCGCCTGGGACAAGATGCGAGTAACAGAGTGTGTCCCCAAATGCCTGCTGGCAATACCAATCATTCACTGGAACCATGACAGGCGTCGTGCTTAACTATGGCATCTGCGCTGTCTGCTTTCAGATCGCTCCCCAGACATTGATAACTACTCTGAAGAAGAGGATGACAGCTTCTCCTCAGAGCAGGAAGCCAGCGATGATGCTGTGCAGGGTCAGGTAAGGGAGGCCCGGCAGGGTGGCTTATGTCCTGGTCCCATTTCTGTGGCAAGAGTCAGGAGTTGAGGGTCTTGATCACACTCTCATCTCCCTTGTAAACGTTTGTCATGGTTTCAGAGAGCAGAGAGCCACAATACCTGACAGCAGGAAGAGCTATGGGCTGCTGTTGAGTCCATGGTGGGGCAAGGGACTTTGGGGAGCCATAGATCTCACCCATGTGTCCTTGGGGCTGCCTGGTCTGCAGCATAAACCCCTTGTTGAGCCTCCTCCACCTTGTACCACGGTTCCCTCCCATTCCCCTGTGATAATAGGCCAGAGGCTGCCCTCTTTCTGACAGAGAACAGAGCTTTTAGGAAGATGTACATTCCAGGTGTGAAAATGGTCATAGGTGGTAAACCCATCCCAGCCAAAAAAGACGTGTGGTAGCATGCTGATCAAGCTGAGAGACAAACCCCTGTTTAGGGTCCTCCACATTACCTGTGCCATGATACTGGGTTAACACATCAGAGCCCCATGTCCCTGGGAGCTGTGTGAATTGCTGAGGTTCACTTTTTGTGAGCTCATGTGCTGTGCCCTCTGAGCTCACTCTGGAGTGGGAAGAGCAGGAGAGCAAAGCATGGGTCATGGGGAGGCTGGTGAGTGCAGAGAGAAGAGTTTTAGGTTGCAACAAGGACTGTTGCAGTAAAGCTGCTGTCTCTCCTCCAAATCTTGCTGGTACATGTACCCCTGGAGGGGCCTGGGGGCAGAGATGCTGGGGAAGAAGATCTATTGGTGGACAGGGCTGAAGAAGGAGAAGCTGCTGCATGGAGAGAGGTGGGAGAAGTGAGAAGCAGGACTTTTGAGAGCACAGTGGACCAAAGCTTTTCAAAATAGGGGACAAGCATGGGGCAAGGGAACTTCTAGCACGTGCTGCTCCCTGCACTCTGAGTTGCTCTGATGTGCTGTGACCTTTTGCCTGCAGGACCTGTTTGACGAAGAGGATGACTTGAGGAAAACCAAGAAGGCTAGGAGGAAAATGATCCGAACCACATCAATGACCAGAGTAACATCAGCATTTATGTGATCAAAGGGATGGAGGGGATTCACTTCTTCCCCTCCCTGCAGGGAGTGAAGAGGGGATTGATGGGCATGCTGGCAGTGGTGCAGAGCAGGGCAGAGAGCCCTTGGCTCTGAGAAGAGGGGGCAGACCTCTTACCATTAATAAGTTAACTTGCTGCTCAGAGTGTACCCCAGCTCATGGTCTGTACTGTGCTTAGCCTGGCTTCGTATCAGTGATGATCTGTGTGCAACACAGTTTTGACTTGCTGCTGTGACATGGTCTCTTCTGTTTCCCTCCCAGAGGAAGGGGAAGGTTGGTGCAAGGAAGGCTGGACCATTAGCAACTCCTCCACCTATCAGCAGAAGGGGGGAGCTACCCTACCAGGCCCCTACTTTCCAAGCATCTCCTTGTCCCCGTCTGCTTCAGCCTTACAGGTCCCTGGGCACCCTTTCTGAATTTTTTCCTAATCTTTTCTTACTTGACGGCAGCAAGCCTCAACCAGATGGTCTGGGGAGAAAGGGGATTTAAATGGAGAAAAAGTGCTATTGCAGCCTGTAGCAGTGAGAATCTGACTCCTTGCAGCTTCCCTCATACTCAGATACAGCGGCTTCTTGTGAAGTCCAGATTTAGTCCAAATTCTACAGCACATTTAAAGAGTAAAGGAGATCATAGCTACCTTGGGCATGGGAACCCAGAAAGGAGCTGATGGCATGTTAAAGAGAGCAACCACAGCCTGTGCACAAGTGATCTTGGAACACAGTTTCATAGTTTTGCTGATGTTTTTTCTTCCCTTATTTTGTTCTAGCAACCAAACTTCAAGCAGAAATTTGTGGCTTTGCTGAAGAGGTTTAAAGTGACGGAGGAGGTAAGGAGCAGGAAGGCTGCCCCACCTGGCAGCGTCTCCTGCAGATGTGTAGGTGTCCGAGTGCTGGTTCCCACTCACTGGGAGCACAAGGCATGAGCTGCAAGTGCTCAGGGGTGTTACCAGAGGTGGTGTGAGACATGGCACAGACTGGGCCTTGGCTTTTGCCTCAAGAAGGCAGCTCTGAGCCTTGTGCTGAAATCAAAAACACCTTCCTGTTGGGGAGAGGGTCCAGGAAAGAAGGATGCTGTCATACAGCAGCTCTACCCCAGGAGCATTGCAGGGGCAATCCTGTTCACGATTGAGAGCAGGCTAACATCAACCTGGGGATAGCTTTGGCTGGGAGCCAGAGCTGAGTGTGCAGCACAGCCAGTGGAAGTCCTCCAAGGTGTCTTTAACTCCCAGTATGATGGCTGTCTGAGATTCCTTTGGATGTCATGCTCATGGCATCTTCCTTTGGGCCCAATGACAGTGTCACTTACTGTTTCCTCAGCCTGGATTTGGCTTCCTGAGGTGGGAACAGTGTCGTGGTGTGCCTTGTGGCTGGGAGGGAGTTTGTATGTGCCTGGCCTGGGGTGCAGGTGGCTCCATATCTCTTAATTGCCCTCTGGGCTTGATCCTTCAGGTCCTGGACTCTGATCCTGTAGACCAGACCCAGGAGGTGGAGGAAGACCTGGGCTTGCTCTATGACAGCCTGGAAGAGTGCAACAACAGTGACAGCGGCCCGGAGATTGAGGACAACGAGAGTGTGCACAGCACGCCCAAGCCCACCCTGAGGTAAGGGTTGGAGGGAGTCATAGTCTGACAGCACAGTCTATGGGACTTGGAAAAATGCCCTCTGACACTTTCCTGTGGCTTGGGCTAATGCAGGCATTGTCTTGTCTCCACTCCCACTGAGCTCCTCACTTGCACGTCCCGTTTAATAAACTCAAAACTGCCCATCAAAACTGACTTCCTTCACATTTAGTCTCATTTAATTTCCTACCAGTCCAGCATCTGACCGTTACTGATCTGCTGGAAGAGTACATTCTTAACCTAAGTCCTCACTGTTCCCAGCTCTCATATCTTTCTGGTGATGGTCCTGGCCTTCTCAGGGCTCTCCACACTGAAAGCACGCTTGTCTTTTGAGCACTTTGTGACTGCTTGGGCCAGTCTTGTGTCCCTGTGAGATCTGCATGCTGCGTTCCCACCCTCTGTGGAGACGTGTGAGTAGCAACTATCAGCGATGTTCCTCACACCATTCCCCAGGCGCCCAGTGACTTGGCACACCAATGCAGTGAAACCAGGCTTTTCTCCCATGTGATCTGCATTCACCTGGCCTCTCTGCTCATGGCTGTTCTGTTTCCATGCTGTCCTTTTGTGAAAAGGTTGCCTTTTATTGTCTTGCTACTTGGCTGCCTCATAGTGCAAGTCTCTTCTAGCCAAGCCAAGCTTACTTGTCATTATTGTTTCTACAGTTTGGTATTTAAATGTAATTTGGATTAGTTGGAATCCCTCTTGAAGGTACTTAGCAGGGGTAGCAGACTTGGTCTGCCACAGGCAAACTGAAATTAACTCTGCTGGATTCAGGAACCCATGGAGCGCTGGGGAAGAAACAGGAACACAACAGAAGTCGTGTTTTACGCAAACCTGCAAGTTGTTGTGAATGAGACAGAAGGTGCATGGGCAAGGGAGGGCTGCTTAGGTGGTCTGCTTGGACTCCAGAAGGAGTTTCACATGGTCCCTCATCAAAGGTTTTAAAGAAACAAAGGCAGTGTGGGAGAAAAAGGAAGGTCTTTTTGTGGTCAGATAACAGTTTATGTATGTAAACTATGTACAACTATGTAAACTGTAAGAAAAGTCTTATTGAGAGTATTTAAATATAAGAACCCATTCCAGTTCTGCACATAGTAGCTTGCAAAGATCTGGTCTGTGGGAGAGCATCCTAGAGTAAGTGCTGGTTTGTCCTTGTACCTGCCATTACAGCCTTCCTTGGGTGTTTGCTGCCATCGCTGGTAGGACAGTCTGTTGGGCTCTGGACTGGTTTTCAGCCTGTTCGTGAAGTGTCCGTAGCTTGGTTTGCTCTCTAGTGCCTCAGTTTCTGGCAGTGCTGAGCGTGTATCCCCCTGAATTCCCATTACTGGGTCTGTGCTTTTTCTCAGGAGATGTTGGAGCTGGCTGCCAAGGTTGTCAGTGTGGACTGCATGGCTCCAAGGCCCTGCATAGCCTTTCCAGCCCAGCCTGTACATTCAAGATATCTTTCTCATGTTGGATTTGTTTGTTGTCGTAGGCAGCCTTGCTAGACACTGTGAAGGTCTCTGTGGAGCAAAGGCATTAAAGGGGTGAGCAGTTGCCGGTGCCCTGGATTGGGCCAGTGGTGTTGGGAGCAGATAGCCATCATTTTGATTAGCCAGGGAGGCCACGCAGCCACAGGCTGCTCCTGCACTTGGGTGAAACTGGAGCTAGAATTGAGGCTGTGAGGTGAGACCTCAACAGTCAGAGCCTTTGATTGAGGACCAGAGGTGAAGGAGCAAATGTCTCCATAGGTGACTGGAAAAGTGGATGGGAGAGAGGGAGCTAACGCCATGAAAACAGGAGGAGGCTGTGCAGAAGAGCTGGGATTTACCTAAATCTCAACCTGCTGAGACTCAGACTCAATCATGCCTATAGGAGAGACTTTAAACTGCGGAACAGGGAAAGCTGAGAATTGCAGAAGAGCTCTGCTCAGTCTGACATGTCCTCTAGGGATGAAAGCTGCTGAATTGCAAGTGAGAGAGGACAGAAACAGCGACAGCTTCCACAGAGACAGCTCCATTTAAAGAGAGTGTTGAAAGCCAGACCAAGTGTATACAGTCTAGACACATACAATGTCTAAGAAAAAGAGAGGGGATGGAGATAACTTGTCGAGGTGCCAGTGCCACCAGGGCTATGTCACATTCTGGTGGGATTATTGCAGCAGTACAGGGGAGTGTGAGAATGGTGCTGATTGAGGAGTGAATCGTAGAAATCATACATGTTTCTCTGTTTTGACTCTCTTAAGTAAGGGTTGAAGTTGCTGGCTGAGAAAAGGCAAGTGTAGAGTAATGACTAGACAGAGTGGTGACAGTGCGAGAGCAGAAATATGTTCATTTATCCCTGTGTGACCTGGAGAAAGCATCCCACAATGCCACCTCTAAACCTGTTACTTTGGTAAATTAAGAGCTGCTCTGTGGTGGGGAGCATCATTTGCTGAGATTAAATGTCCTTGTAGGAGCAGTAAAAGAGCAGAACCTTACAAACACTGTTGTGTCTGGCAGCACAGCAGGCTGTATACAGATGAGGAAATGTATTAAGAGGAAAGTAAAAGGAGCAGCCAGGATGTTCAGAGGTTTGTAGGTCTCCTGCAGAAAGCCACAGATGTGTCCAGATGAGGACCACAGAAAACAATGGAAACCCTGGCAAAGTCCTAACAAAAGAACTGCTCTATATCCTACGTCTCTGTGGCCATCCCTGGAAATGTGCAACCTGGTATTCCCATCTGCACACCAGGTGAATCAGGAGAAACTTTTCCTAGGAGTTAGCAAGCAAAAACGTACACACAGCTTAGAGGGAAGCTGGCCCAGATCTCCTGCGAGAGTCACACATTGCAGATGAGCTGGGGTTACTGCAAGGGCCCTGGGAAAGCTGACAGGTGAGACAGTGATAGGGCCTGCTTGTTTCCTAAGACTGGTCTTTGGGCAGCCCACAGGATATGCAGGGGGGTCTTTGGCAAATAAATAATGAGTGGAAAGAGGAGAAACAAAGGTGAAAGCTCACACTGTGGTGGCAGGGACAGTTCTGCCCCACAGGAGTTGCTGTGTTGACCGTCGTGACTTGGGAACAGGACCTTGGAGTTTCGCTGTGCAGCTCTACCAAAACAGCTCTACCACCTGAGAGACCTAAGGAAAAAGGCAAAATTAAGCACTGGGGAGCAAAACAGGACATTGTTGTGCTGCTGCACTACCTGTGATGTGGTTCTATGTGCAACACTGGGGTCTTCAGAGCCTCGGGAAAGGGGAAAGCAGGAAGGGAAGGTGGAAGCTGGTTCTGGAAGCATACAGCAGCAGCAGTCAGAGGCAAGGAGCCCTCCCTGGAAAAGGGAGAGCAGAAAGGAAGGCATCAGAAATCTGTGGAAGCTGTGGTGGTGCAGAGGGGGCAGAGAGGCCCAGCAGCGCATTGGAGTTGTGGTGTGGACAGAGACCATATACCAGTGGTAGGGGATCACCTGAGAGAGAAATTGCTGCTGTCTAGGAGACAGGGACCCTGCCTCCAACTCACCGGGGTCACAGCTTTAGCCCTGTTGGTCTGGGGTGGCTCCAGCCTGTCTCAGCACCCAGCGCTGTTGCAGCAGACCATGGCATGTGGGGCTGGCAGGTCTGCTCCTAGGCTGGAAGTCACTCGGATACATGGGTGTCTGGCCCTGTGTCCCACGGGGGACCTCTCCACAGTGCTCTGTGCTTGGGACAGGCCAGCGGGAGTGTGCTGGGATCATGGTGACTTTGTTCCTCTCTTATTCCTGCCTTTTTCTCTCCCGTCTGTCTGTCTGTCCGTCCGTCCGTCTGTCTGTTTCTCTGCAGGCGTTTCTTTGAGGGAGTCTCTCATTCTGGTTCCCAGACTGAGATCGGCAGTCTGCACAGCCAGAAAGGGCAGGATCAAGAGTCGGGCAGCCCTGTGAGTTACACCACCACCGCCTCTTGTCCCCTTCCCTCCCCAGCCAGCCCAGCATCCCCACAGCTCCCTCTGAGACCGCAGCTACTGACAGCACCTACCTGGGGCTGCTCTTCCCTTCTTTCCTCTTCTTTTTCCCAGTGCAGGCAGACAGGTAGCGATGGGGGGCATACTCTGGGGCTGGTCTCAGGGGGACACCGGGCTCCCCTGTGGGAGTGTGTAATGTGTGAGGCCAGGCATGGGTCACTGGCAGCCGCCCCACTTGAGGCGCTCCATCCT